CACAGTATTACTAAAGTACTCCACAGTACTACACAGTATTACTAAAGTACTCCACAGTATTACTAAAGTACTCCACAGTAGTTCAAATGCACGTGGTTCAAACATATCATCGGAGGTGAAGCCTGCAGCTGCTTCCTGTTCCGTTTCTTCTTCTATGGCTAAATGTGTCTCTACTCCCTGTGTAGAGACCATAGACTGTATATAAAGAGGTAGAGACACATTTAGCCATAGAAGTGTTTCCACTGTGAACCAACAGAACCATGGTTCAGTTAGATCCAGAACCAGAACACCTCTTCTGGTCGGAGGAACCTTCCCTCCTTTTTATTCTGATTATTTTACAACATACAACCCAAAAAACTTTTACTCTCTCAAAACTGATTTAACGGAGTTCAAGAATTTCATTTGGTTTGAGCTGATTGTTCCATTTTGATTGACGTCTTAGTGAAATATCAAACATGCGGTTCTGTTTTATTGAATCTGCTGACTTCAGTTGTCTCTCACACACATCCTGATCATTTGAGGGTCAAAGTTTAGACTTGAAAATAAAAGATAAATTAAATTGAGTCTAACTGAAGTGGGAGCTGAATGAGCGATTTTATTATGCAAAGAATAAAAACAGAATCGAAGTTTTTAACTCTCCTGATGATTAAAGAGATTTTTTCACTCAAACACTTTCAGTCCAGATACTGAATATTTACAATGAACATGAAAACCAAGAGTCAAATTTAACAAGTTCAGTTTTAAAGGAAGGATATTGGCTCTTGCCCTCAGCTGACATCTTGTTTTTTTTTCCGCCTCACCACATTTATCAGGTTTCTTTTAAAGACAAAATATCATTAAGTTGACAATCACAGTAATTCATGTTTAATTTAGGTCTGTCCATAGTTTCATCCTGTCAGTTTTTGGCCGTTCTCGTCCATACAAAACATGCAAGAGGTTATCAAAATGTATTTATTTCCCCCTTTGTACAACTTGAAGATGTCATGTCGAATGCTCGATATAATAAATAAGAAGTCATACAAAACTGCCCGAGGGTTTTCACACATCACCACCAGCTAATCACAAAAACAACAGTCGTCATGACAGAGAAATTATCAAACATATCCTGCACTCAGAGGAAAAGGCTCACGGGCCATTTTTAAGTGGATCAACAACAAAGATACTCACAAACAAATGTACCTTATCCAACAGTATAATTTGCGTATCAACACATTTACATAAACATACACAAAGTCTTGCCTTGTTGTTGTTGTCGGGACAGAAATGGGTCTGGTAGGGTTCATACATATACAGTGAGTTTTTAATTTCACAAAAACACGGACTACTCCTTTAATTTTACAGCACACAGATGGCAAACTTGAGGTAAAGCGAAACTTTTTTATGTGAAGGTTTCAAAAGTGTTGGTGCTCAGTTTCCACTTTCAGGTCAAAAATGGCGCCAAGAGAACAAAAAAGTCAAATGAGCTGACGAATTAAAAAAAAAAAAAGTGACGAAACCCAAATGGACCAAATCTTCCTCTAAGTTCTTCGTTCTCCACCAGTCTCTCATTTTTCCTCCAGTTCAGCTCCTGCCCCTCCTCACATCTCGTTGGGGCCCTTCATGCTGGAGTCCTTTGCGGAAACCGGTGACGCCACCATCGGTAGGATGCACTGCGACGACTCGCAGTAACCGTTCAGACCTGCGGTACCGGGAGGCCCGGGCACGCCAGGAATACCGGGAGCGCCCCGAGGCCCCCGCTCTCCATCACGCCCGTCTTTGCCGTAAGCCGGTCGACCCGGTTCACCTGAACAACGGAAGTAAGAAAACATCACAGATGTCTCACCCAGTCTCTGCTGGAGAAGGGAACTGGGAATTTTATTTATTTTATGTGTTGCATATAATAGATTTGTTTTACACACTCATGTGGCGAGTGTTTTCTGAGTTGGTCATTCACACAGCTTCTTTTTTCATTCACCAGAGTCAGAGAATTGAGGACACGGTTCTAAAATGAGACTTCTCAGTCATACTTGTCATTTACCTGATAGACCCGGCGCTCCGGGTGCTCCTTTGGGTCCTCTCGCTGTGGGTCCTCGTTCGCCTTGGTCACCATGGTCACCTGCAACCGGTAATTGAAGTTTCTAATTTTAACTGAAGTTCATACTCAGAGTTCAGACTTTATCTGTTCCTTCATCACGGTTAAAGGGACACCACGTAAATGTGTCTGAGCTGTAAACTGGATCATACGACTGTTCTTTGATTTCTTTGATTCTTTGCTGTCAGGAAACTTAATCAAGCTTTTAGTTTAAGGTACAACATTTGCAGGGTTGCTTCCAGTCCAACAACGTTTATAGTCAAAGTTCCTGGTGGTTGTAGAGCTGCTAATCTGGATCTCACCTTTGGGTCCTTTGCGACCCATTACCCCAGATGGACCCTTCAGCCCCGGCAGCCCTCGTGATCCGGTGTGTCCGGGGAAACCGTTCTCCCCAGAGGGTCCCGGGGGCCCAGGCGGGCCGGGGGGACCAGGCAGCCCAGAGATTCCTGACTCAGGCCTTCTCAGGCTGGCTGCTAGCTGGGCCAGCTGCTCTGTGATGCAGGAGGACAAGGTTTAGATTTGAGCTTTAGTCCAGAGCGGAACCGGTCACTGTGTTTCACTCGAACATTGTTTTACAAAGATTCAGCTTGAATTACATTCAAACATATTTTCTCTAAATCTGGTACGAGACATGTACTGAATTTTTGATTTATGTCGATTTTGAGAAAAGTTACTAAAACAACTTCTTTCTTATGATAAAAGTTAAACTTATAAGTTAGAAAAATAAAAAAATCTATTCATTACATTCAGGAGTTTTGCTACGGTCGCTAACATTTGCTAGCTTTGCGGAATTACAGAAGAAGATTCTGGTTCATCTGGGTCAGTTTGCTTCTCTTTAACACAATGGCTGAAAATTGAGTATTTACTATTTTTCAATCAATGTCAGATTAAATTAAAAAAGTAGTTCCGGCCTGATTTGCTGGAAAAATTTACATGAACGTCATCTCAAGTCAGAATAACAACTCGAAGAGGCGGCAAAACCTTACATGATTTGCTGACGTTGTCTCTTATGCACTAATTAATTTAATTTTGCTCAGTGTTGTTTAACTTCTCTCAACACATGTTGTTTACAGTATCCATGTTTTTTCCATATTTTTCCAGACTTCAAAGCACATAAACACACCAAAGCCGGAACAACTCAGGAAATGGGGGCTTCAGAGGAGCAAGGGAAACCTGCAGAATGCAAACACTTACCTTGCATTACCCTCATGCAAACTTGTTTGATGTGTGTATCTGTCGGAGATTTTCCCTGCGCAAATAAAGTAGACAGTGATGAGTCATTTGTTCTTCCTTCGATAGTATGAGCGACCATCAAATGTTTTATCAAACAAAATACATTTAATTCCATAAAACTCACTTTTGACTCAACATTAGATTCCATCTTTTACCAGCACTTGTTTAAAATAACCAGGTTTGTCCTTTGATTTAAGGAGGCATTCACAGAAGGTCTTACCGCTGGTCCCTGTGATCCGGGGAGGCCTGGTACTCCCATGTCGCCCTGCATTCCCCGCGGTCCCGACTGGCCCGACTTGCCCTCTTTCCCTGGCTGTCCTCGGCCACCCTCAGGTCCTTTATTTCCTGTCTCTCCTGGTGGGCCAGTCTGCAACCAACAACAGCAGGTACACATTAAAACTTACAACAGAACAGCTACAGAGCGCACCCTAGAGGTCAAACAATCTTCACATGTCCATCAGGTCTGGATTATTGGATTATTGTCTGTATCTGCAGCAAACTGCACAAACTCATAGATCTCAAGGCCATAGATAAATCTGAATTTCAGCATTTCCTCAGAACTTGATGAAAGTATGCAGACGACAGTGATTGACAGCACCAACATTTAATGAGCACTTCT